AAAACAATCACACAATAAACAGAAACCAAACTAAAGAAAGGTGATTACTGTCCCAAAAACATAAGTGGCAGAGCACTAATTTATGGAGAATCCATTAGCATGACACGAAATGGTATCTTACTAATCATTGAAAAAGATTTAACCTCTTATGTATTCAAAATCTACAAAATCTTAGAATATTACATTTCTATTATCATAAAATTCAAAGGAAAAACGAATATTCTTCTCATGGTTACATATCTTCCTCATAATATAAAAGAAAGGAAATTAGTCATCAACCAACTTTACCAAATAACAAAGTTTACCATTCTCTATAAACTTCATTATATAATAATAAGAGACTTCAACTTATACTCCAAGAACAGTCCATCTATCGGTACCCCAACATCACTATTCAAACAGCTAGTGTACAATTATCTTATCTAAATGAATGTGGGCTCAAAAGTAAAATAGACATGCCTTTTCACCGAATGTTTAAGTATTATAGAAATGCACTAAAAGAGACAAATACTACAACAATAGCTAAACAAATGCATGAAATAGCTGAATATTGTATTATTAATTCTCTTAGTTACCAGTGGTTATTGATTAAGTGCAATGTAATTAATAAACATAAGGAGGTTGCAAGCATAGCCTTTCTATCATTATTTGATGCATATTATTTTGCAGGGGGGATGAAGATATATAACCTTTTAGGTGCCAGTGCGTGGCAGAATGGGATCCTAACCAGCACAATTTCAATAGAGCAAACTAAAACTGGGAAGTACCCTGGTGCTTATGTCTTTCTATCAATAAAGGGGCTTAAAAATAGATGTCCTGTAACTGGTTTGGACTTTGCATCATTATATCCAAATCTTATTATAACATATAATCTCTTACCTGATAAGATTATTTTATCAGAAGAGCAAGCTCTATCCGTAGAATGTAGTGAGAAGAAACTACATAAGATTGAATTTCTATTCAATGGTAACCTTATACATGCCTGGTTTGTTCAGAATAATAATATTTCTAAAGACAAGGGTCTCTATGCTATTGTGCTGGAATATTTATCTGACAAACAAAATGAGATGAAAAAGCATCTCGCTCCTTTGAGAGCAAAAAAAGAAGATATGAAACTAGTAGTAAGTTCATTGAGCTTGGACGAAAGTTTATCATTATCAGAAGCTATTGAGCAAGTCTTAGCTAATGCAAAGGAAGAAAAACACACTGGTCTTACTAAAAATCTATATCACTTTATTAATCAGGAAAGCATGAATTTATGACAGAATATGATTCTGTTTGTTTCAACTGCTCTTGCTTAGATGCAAAACAATATGCTTTTAAGGTATATATGAATACATTTTATGGCACTGCTGGAGATAGCAAATCCCTTTTCTTCTTATGTGAACTTGCAGGAGGTGTTATGTCAGCTGGTCAACGGAATATTAAGCTTGTAGCAGATTTTGTTAAAAATAAGAAATTTGGGATAAAATATGGTGATACTGATTCCTGATATCTCGTCTGTCCAGAAGAATCTTTCCAGATATGTGACGAGGCTTACAATAATGGCAGGATCTTGAAAGAAGAATATTGGTCTCGAATGGTGGAAATATCTATAGAAAAAATAGAAAAACTCTGTGATGAAGTTAATGAATTTCTCAAAAAAGATAATGGATCATCTTATCTCAAAATGGCATATGGGGAAGTTTTATTTCCGGTAATATTTACTGGAAAGAAAAAATACTACGGCATTCCACATGAAAGTAAGCCAAACTTTAATAACAAGACTTTTATTCGGGGAGTTGAGATTGTAAAGTGGGAACAGTCTAAACACTTTCGTGAGGTGGATAAGAAGGTCATGAAGGAATCTGTGAGACTGGATAATATATGCACCTTGCATCAGATTGTGAAGGACATGCTCAAAGAGACCATAAATAATATTTCACAGATAGATCTTAATGGAGTGATTAAAACTGCTGTGTGGAAGCCTGATAAAAATAACAAAAGTGTTCAGCATTTTATTTCATGAATGCAAAATAAACACATCCATAAAGAAGCAGATACCAAATAGCACATAAAAAAGGACCTAACACCCGAGCCTTATCTTTATGAAATCCCAGAACCAGGCGAATGCTTTGAGTATATTGTAGTTAAGAATGATTCTTCACAGAGGGTAGGGGATAGAATGGAGTATCCAGAGGTAGTGAGGCGATTAGTTAAAAAGATTGATATCAGTTATTATTTAAAAACTGTTGTCGGCCTCTGTACACGATTTATAAATTATGATAATGAATACCAGCCATTATCTGAAATTGTGCTGAAGGCCTTAAAAAAGTTAAAAGATGGTAATAAAGTGGATAATAATAAAGCGAATGATGGTGGGGTGGATGAAGATGATGTAAATGAAGACGAAATGGATGAAGACGAAGTGAATGAATATGAAATGGATAAAGACAAAATGGATGAAGATGAGGTATCAAAAATAAGAGATGCATTAGTGCAGAAATTAGCTGAAAAGTGGATTAGAGAGTATATCAAAAGCCTACGTAATGGTCCGAAAAAAGATAAAACCATCATATCTCATTTATGGAAAGAGTCATGCATTTATGTGAAAAAATTATTTGATACTACTTATGCTGACAAGAGAGAATGCCTGACTAACAATGCTTATTGCCAATCCTTCTTCAATGCGCTAAATAAGCAAAAAGAATCTATCCGCTTAAAACTTTCATTATTACTTAAAGAAATTTCTGAGGTTAATATAGGTTATAGAGAAAGTATGTATAAATTAGTTACTATGAAACGAGCAATGTCTTTAGAACAATATTTAATATCATATTATTTGAATGAGTGGGTCCCTTTGGGATCATATAAGCTACTATCAGATTTCCGAAACATATGTTACAAAGTAGTTGGTCTAGAAATTACATACTATCAAACGTTATCAAAGTTACAGGATAATAAAAAAGATGATTCATCTGAAGCAGATATAGACGAGATCATTGAATTATATGTTTAAGTATTTCACTAATGGCATAATATTAGCAATACTTACATAGTAATAATATCATAAATATTTTTTTGTACATAAATAATATCCAAGTTTAAATAGATGTTCACCTGATCCATATATCCTGCAATTGATCACTTTTTTTATAATCATTTATTTCAGGGAAATGGCTCTTCGAGCCTAGAGTCGCTCCTTCAGGCCTGCGAAGTAATAGCGCTTCGAGTCTATTTATATTCTATATGCATTTCACAAATCACATAATTACAATAATTAATAGAGCAAGGAAAATATATGCCAATAGTGGTGACATTAAAGTATTTGCCACAGCAGGAAGAGGCAAAGCCTCAAGATTAGGTCTCATTTGGGTATTTGATTTAATCAAAGAGAACATATATGGTTTAGCACCAATTTCACTAATGATAGTTTCATCGCTTACCTTGGAATTAATCTCGATATCATTTTTTGATAGTTCAGTAATCTCACCATTGATTTTTTCTATGTGCCTTGGCACTAGCTCCACTATTGAATCCATATTTTTTCTGTATACTAAATATTTACTAAGATCAGTACTATCCAAAGATATATTACCAGACTTAGTAATATTTTTTTCGTCATTCCCACCAACTATGAGTTTCGATATAGCCACTGATTTCAGACACTCAAGCTTATCAACCTTCGATTCCAATTCATTTTTTAAATTTTCTAATTTAGCTATTTTGGATTTGAGAGATAATATCTCGGATTCTTTTTTCAATGAGTCACTTTGAATCAAAATTACATTATTCTGGGCTGAAAACAACTTACCTTCCAATATCTTGATCATAGACTCGAGTGATTTGATTTTCTTGGATTTTATATCATTATCAGCCTTGGATTCCGCAAGAGAGATATCTTTGCGGGTATTTTCAATATATAGACGTCTAGTCTCATTAATAAGTTTCAGATCATGAGTACGTAATTTCTAAATATAGTATTAGCCCCTCCTAGTTTCTGACTTTACTTATTTCTTTCCCGATCCCACCTCTTTCTTTCTCAATCGAAATCATTTTTTTGTTTAATACATTTATCCCGCAACTTACTATTATATTCGCGCACTTTAGAAGAGGATTGGAGGATACGACATATTTCTTTTTCAAGATCTTTTTCATGGACCATATTAATTAATAAATAATATAGCAAAAAAAATACAGGTAAACTCAATATACAGTATATACTACTCATACTATGTCTATAATGTCTATTATGTATACTACTCGTACTATGTCTATTATGTATACTACACATACTAATTACAGATACTATGAGTACTACACATACTAATATCAGATATTATGCATCCTACCTGTATAAATATTTTTTTAATATATTTTTTATTGATATTAGTATTATATATAGTACATGTATAAATATTTTTTAAAGTTAACATGGTTAAACGTATGCGGTCTGATGCAGTTCCATTATCTTCAGAAGATTATAAGTTTATTATGCAATATCGCAATGCAAAGCCCAAAACTGATATTTTAAAGAAGTTAAGAGAAAGATATTCTATGACAAACAACCATTTTTATAAAATTTGGAGAGGGCAAGAAATTTGTATAGTTGAATAGTATCAACTGATACAGGATACAATAATAGTTTCAAATCAAAATTTATCTATTGCAGAACAATACCTCAAAGAGCCTACACCTGAATCATGCTCATCAACGAAACTAATGCAATCAAATATTAATCAAGACACTTATACTGATAAAAATGATATAAGTAAAAAAAATACAAACTATAAATCATATTATACGCTCTGTAGAAAATTCTATTGTTGCTTCTGATAAACAGATAAAGAAAAAAAAATCAAAACCTGAGATTTTTAACTTACCTAAAATAGATAAAGATGAGTAAATTATATGCTTTAATTGAGCAAGATTGCAAAGAAATGGAAGAAACAAAATGTGAATCAGAAAGAATTTTAAAAATCAATTAATCTATCTTCACTTTCTCTATATTGGAATTTCTTTCATTTTAAATATCCAGATTCATTTATATGAGTTCGCAATTTTTTATTGAGTTCGATTAATTCCACTTTGGTTTCAAGTACCTCATATAGCGATTTTTCCAGTTCCTCATAGCTTATGCATTTTTTTTTAAAGATAAATTGTCGTTCTCATCATTATTACTTTGCAATGGAGCTATGCCACTATTCATTTTTTGTAAAATTTGATCTGATGACAAAGACTTTCTATCTTGGGTTAGAGTTGTGCAATTTACTTCGAGTTTATTCTTGACTTTATGTATAGTGACTGGAATAATAAAATCTTCTCCATTATAATGGATTTTCATTTTATCATTACTCCAGTCTACAGCATATTTATATTTTTTAAGAAGTGGATTTGGAAATATTAATGTCAGTTTAGGAGCTCGTACAAATACAAAATCTTTATGTATAGTAAAACCTGGAGAAAATGTTATTGGGAAATTACGAGCAATACCAATAGATTCTGTTGGAACTGTTGCAACACCACTAAGATCATATTTTTTTGACTTATCAATTGGCCAATTTACATGCTTAACAATGTCTTCTGATGTAATTGGAGGTTCAGCCCCACTATCAAGTACCATTGCAGGAATTTTTAGGCGTTTGATCTTAACTTCTATAGTTGCAATACTTGTGTCAGGTTCCTTTTTCTGGACAAAGTCTATTTCTATCGAATCATCCAGTGTCTCTTCTTCTCTATCTGATTCCAGAATTATTGGAGCAGGTTCTCGACGATTTGTATAATCTGAATCGGATAAGTATTTATTTTCAGATTTAAGTTTCTCCAACTGATGCGGAAGTAAGACCTTTCCAAGCATATCCAATAAAATTTGTCGAATACTCTGCTCAAGGATAGTTGATTTATTTTGGGACTTACTAGAAGTGGAAGTATCCTTCTGTTTCTTTTTGCGAGATTTGGATTGCTTCTTAGACTTGGAATTTTTAGGTTTTACTTTTTTTTTTAATTTAACAGTTAAACCATTTACAGAATCGGATTCCGATTCAGACTCAGTTCCAGACTCAGAGCCAGAATCCGAATTAGAATCATTATCAGAAGAGCTAGCATCAGACCCAGAACCCGAATCTTTGGTAGCGATATTGACACTGCCTCTTTTCTTAGATCTGCTTTTCTTTTTTCGAGTATACTTGCGAGAATTATAACCAGTCCTATTGCAATTTGAGCAACGGTGTTTGAATGATATTTAACGGCATTAACGCCTGCCTCAATACCTTTTGCTATAGCCTGATTTATTGACAACTTACTCATGCGATCAGTCAGATCTTCATCCGAGTCTGGTTCAATTTTTTTTTTCGATTTTACAGGCTTTGCTGAAAATTTATCTATCAGTTTTTTATAAAGGTCGTTAGCTAAAGATTCCATAATTTGACCGGTTGAAGGAATTGGATTCATGATATTGGCATGAATAAATCTTTCAGAATTTATGCCATACCTATCTGGAGGCCTTTCTGGCATATATTTATCCGACACTCTAGAATAATTATCAAAATTAGATCGTTTCTGCAGAGATTGTGCCGGTATCATAGATTTATTTTGTAATTGGCATGAACTGGTTTCTGGCTGAGAAATTGTAGATGATATATTAGTTAAAAGGCTAGTCTCTGGCTTAATAGCTAAGACTTGATCAAAATTTGATCCTCCATACAGGTTTGGAGTACGTTCTAACCACATATTTTTTAATGCGGTGAAAAATTCATTAATATCTGCTGGACCTCATCCAAGTGAAAAGCTCACCTGGCAATTGACTTTTAAGAAATCCCAAGACTTGAGCATCATTATTGGATACAGCTAACAAAAGAGGTCAAATTCTAGTTTCGTAGGTATCTGGAGTATCAAAAGGTTGAAATCTTTCTTGAGTTAATCTTTGAATTGCGAATTGTTTGGTCCCAACTGTTTCTCGTTGATATTTTGTTCTTGCCCATGCCCTCAAAGTTGCTGGAGTGTTAATTGGGGGATTACCAACGATATATGGATCATTAGCTGGTACCGGAGCATATTTTCCAGCCATCTTAGATTTTAAAATAGTACACTTGACTGTATCATCGAAATCTCCCGCATTTGCATTTTCAAGAACTGTCATATGTCCCTCAGCAAATGCCCATGATTGTACAACCTTATCAAAATAATCATCGGGAGGTTCTTGACCAATATAAGGTGAGAAACTTGCGAGGGTGGGTTGTATTAATTTTAATACTGGTAAACGTCTAGCTTCTGCATTTGCCATAATTGGATTTGGTAATGGATTATTCTGTAGATTTAAAATTTGTACTTGTAAATTAAAAATTAATTGTCTAGCATCATGTGTTCTATTTTTCCATTTTTCATAGCTTGGAACAACATGATCATACCAAAATTGTAAGAAGACTTTATCATAATTACATTGTCGCAACTCTTGCTTTAATCGGTGGATAGATACTTATAAATAATTTCAAAAATATGCCTGAGTTTAGATTGTTCTTCTAATGCCAAAGTAACATTATGCCACAAACACCCCCGAATATCATATTTTTGTTGTAATTCTCTACCATGCTTCTGACATTGTCGGCTTTTAAATGTAAGTGCAACCTTCTCAAGTAACAAAGTATTAACCCGTACCTGCATTCCTATTTCCAATTTTTGAGCAATCCTCTGCCAGCGACGGGATTCTACCTGTTCATTATTATAAGCCGTAGTCATTAAAGCA